CATTCCAATAGTAATGATTAAATTAAATGATCTACATGTAGTTTTATGTTTTGGATCAGGCATAAAACTAAAAAAATTTCACCCAGTTAAGTGAAGTTTTACAAACTAATTTCGAGAGGAGCACGTGATATGATTGACTGCAGCTGGCCACCCATCTACATTCCTTAGTTAGCCAATCAGATTAATCCTAACTCACTTTAAGTAACCTAGCTAGATCTACTCCCTTATCTTCGTTTTCCGAAGAAACCCCTCATCCACCCCTTCTCCTCCTTTACCACAGGGGAGCTCTCGAGAACCACCTGATCTCGTACTCTACTCACATGCTCTATGGACCTGGCGGGAGCCCTGGGCTCAGCTATGTCCGAGCTCAGGGTTCTCTCCTGGGACAGCATGCCAAACCTGCTAACAGTTGTCAAACAATATCTGTGTGAACTCTTGAAATATTGTTGGACCGACAAATAACTCAATAACGACAGGTATCTAAACTGTTTGTAAACAAATTTAAATGTGAATTTCTTTTTTTAAATTAGAATATACAAATTGGTACACAATTTGAGATGATAGAAATACAAAAACTATGAAATAATAACAAATAACAAAAACAACAACAACAACAACTCAGTCAAATACTGGCAGGTGTGTGTGTTTCTACATGTGTGCATGTATATGTGTGTGCATGTAAGGGAAACTTGGTAAACAGTTCAGAGTACATACAAATGAACAGTAACAGTCACTTAATGAAGCAAGCAACATATATATATATATATATATATATATATATATATATATATATATATATATATATATATATATATATATATATATATATATATATAGGGAAAAGAAAAAAAAGATAGAAAGAAACCAGTCTTGTTATCAGTTATGAGTGACAACAATGCTAGTGTTATAATGATAGCAATAATAACAGTAAACAAGCAAGAGAGGACAACTGGAATAATAATCATCAACAACAACCACTACAATGATAATAATAAGAATAAATCACAAGTACTACACCAACTACTACTACTACTACTACAGAAAGTTTCTAGTGTTACGACTATTACTACTGCTACTACAGCCACAACCACTTCTACAATTACTACAATGTCTACTACTACTGCCACTGATACCATTACATCCCTTTAATTTTATTTTAATTTTATATGTTAAAAAAAAAACTTCTACTGATTATGCAAACTATGGCTGATAACTATGGCTGATAAAGTGTGTGTCTATAGAGTTTTCTAACTGATGAATGACATAATCTAGTGTTATATCTGATCAGTGAACGTTCGCGTGTTCATTCATGACTTAAGGAGGCGTGGCTTTGGACGGCAGGGGAGGGTTGTAAAATTTCTAAGCTATTTTGCTAATGCTAGCATTCTGGCAGATCACCTGCTGCACCTTTAACCAGTCGGCAAACAAGCCGAAACAAAAAAAAAAAAAGCTAAATCATTTTCATACATTGCATTTTGTGTTGTTTTGGAGCAACAAATATTTTCAAATGTAGACTATCTGACAAAAGTCTTGTCGCCTATCCAAGTTTTAGGAACAACAAGTAATAACGACTTCTAGTTGATCATTTCCCTGCTGAAAAATCCAGCTTAAACCAGCCTAGGCTGGTTGCCTGGTTTTAGCTGGTTGACCAGGCTGGTTTTAGAGGGGTTTTGGCCATTTTCAGGCTGGTTTCCAGCCATTTCCAGCCTGGTCTTAGCTGGTCAGGCTGGAAAATGACCAGCCAAATCCAGCTAAAACCAGCTTGACCAGCCTGGTTTAAGCTGGATATAGCTGGTTTTGGCTGGACTCCCAGCTTGGCTAGGCAGGTCAAGCTGGTTTTAGCTGGTCATCTCCTAGCCTGACCAGCTAAGAGCAGGCTGGAAATGGCTGGAAACCAGCCTGGAAATGGCCAAAACCCCTATAAAACCAGCCTGGTCGACCAGCTAAAACCAGCCAACCAGCCTAGGCTGGTTTAAGCTGGATTTTTCAGCAGGGTTGGTATCAGAAGTGGCTTATATGGAAGGCAAAGGCCTCTAGATTACATTTATTTCACCAAAAATAAAATATGATCATGCCTTGATTCTTAATTATTTAATTAGGACAGTAAGGGTCTGACTTTGTGTGGATAAAAGTCTTGTCACTGAACAGAAATAATGTCCAGTATAGAGTATAAAGTCATGCTGCAGTGGAGACAGAATGAATATTGTGTCTGACTCCATCATGAGCTTGGAGAACTGCATCCATACATCTCTACAATGACTCAAATCACTGATTAATAAAGTCATCTGGAATGGCGAAGAAAGCGTTCTTGCATCTTTAATGCCTCCTTCATCTTACCCCAGACATACTCAATAATGTTCATGTCTGGTGACTGGGCTGGCCAATCCTTGAGCACCGTGACCTTTTCGTTTTCAGGAGCTTTGATTCAGTTACGTTGTTTTGGTCAAAAATAACCATCCTTGTCTTCCTTGTGTTTAACCATGACAATATGAGGGCGAATAGTTTTGAATTTGACTGTACTTGACAAATGTTTCTACAGCAGTTTATGCATGCTTTCTTTTAAAACGAGAAAAAAGATAAATATGCCATAATTGCACTTATTTATAATGTACATTTCAAGATTTGATGTCCATCCAGCTTCTTTTTGTTTGCCTGTAATACCACAAAAAGGATGTGACGACAATTATACAGCAGACATGTCTGATGTCCTCAGTGTTTAAAACGGCACGTGAGAAGGAATAAGAATCGTACAATAAATCTGATCATTATTCGAGGTGAACTGGGACGTATCCTAAGAAGTATCCACTGTGTTCCCGTTTAAAATTCTCCTCACAGATGGCAATGTGTACTTAAGGGAAATCTCTGTTTGCATCCATTGGTACAAAATCCTCTGTGCTGCTATTGCTTAGTGATGTGTGGCTCAAAGCAAACATTGCTAATGGAAGTAATCTGTCAATATAACATTTACTTTTGCATGTTCGTCCCCCTGAGCAACGCTGTCTGAGTCAGCAGTGTCCGGTAACCTGACGTATTTGGACAATGATTAAAGCTGAAGTTCTTTCATTTTTCTTTTTCAAATATTTCCCAAATGATGTTTAAGAAAGCAAGGAATTTTTCACAGTATTTCCAATAATGTTTTTATTTCTGAAGAAAGTCTTGTTTGTTTTATTTCGTCTTGAATAAAAGCAGTTTTTAATTTTTTTAAAACCTTTTTTTTTGGCTTTATGGCAATATTACCTACTGCTCCATTGCGTCGCCACTATTTATTAAATCTTTTGTAAATAATAGTCTGCATTTTAAAAGTAGGGATAAAAGACATATCCCCAATGTCCCTCCTGGTTGCTACGCCCCTGGGCTAAACTTTTTAATTTATTTGAAGTTTTTTATTTTATTTATTCATTCATTTTCTTGTCGGCTTAGTCCCTTTATTAATCCGGGGTCGGATTAACCATCAACTTATCCAGCATGTTTTTACGCAGTGGATTCCCTTCCAGTCGCAACCCATCTCTGGGAAACATCCACACACACTCATACACTACAGACAATTTAGCCTACCCAATTCACCTGTACCGCATGTCTTTGGACTGTGGGGGAAACCGGAGCACCCGGAGGAAACCCACGCGAATGCAGGGAGAACATGCAAACTCCACACAGAAACGCCAACTGAGCCAAGCCGGGGTTCAAACCAGCGACCCTTCTTGCTGTGAGGCGACAGCACTACCTACTGCGCCATTGCGTCGCCACTATTTATTAAATCTTTTGTAAATAATAATAATAACAATAATAATAAAACATATTACTGATCGTTTCAAATATTTATTTACAATGAAACAGCTCCAGATGAACATATTTATTAATTTGGGGATTTTTTAAAGGTTATCCCTTATTTTTACATCCCAGTGTTGACAGGTATGCCAAACACAGGTGTAGGATAGGGCCCTAAATGTCACTTTAAGCGGAGTACTAGCATCCTGAAAAAATCTAGTCAAACATTATGTACTGTCATCATGAAACAGATAAAATAAATCAGGTATTAAAACTATCATGATAACAAACGTGTTAAAAAATCACCTCATTAAACAGAAATTAAGGGAAAAATATACAGGAGAGCTAATAATTCTGAAATCAATTGTATATGTGTAATGCTCAGCTACATTCATATTTAATCATCAGTATTTTGAACTATATTTCTGTGGATTAGGAAGCAGCAGTCTGCGTAAATAAATGCATCTTCCTATTTGTTCTTTGCACCTTTTTATTATTCATAGTTGATTGATCAGTGCACCAGAGGGTTACTACTACTCTAATTACTATTGATCTCATTTCAAAAGCATGAAGGCGTATCTCCTCCAAGCCCAGAATTTTCCAGCTAATCTGATTTCCAGTATTTTATTTCAAAGCATTTGATCATACCAACCTGCACTGGCTTATACTCTTAATTCAGTCACAGCATAAATGAGTACACCCGCTATGAAAGTTATTATTTTGATCCATTTTTCAGTAAATATAGACTATGTATTTTGGTGCTTTTAAACGAAACCTGTTTTGATTAAACAGCTTTTTTCTTCTGTATTTTGTATTTTGTTGTCCATTGTGTAATGATTAATTGAAAGAGCTCTTATACTTGTTTGCAAGTTGTGTTGTTTGAAGGTAAAACTAGCTTTTGTTGCATATTTTAAATGTTTTGACTCGGTATGTGTGTTTTGCAAGCAAAATGTGTCATTTCAACCATGAGTGCTGCTAATTAGGCCTGTGTGTTAACTGTTTTGAAAATGTGGAGTTTCAGTGGACGGCTGCATCAAAGCAATTAGGAAAAACTGTAATGTAGTCCAGGGTATATATTTGTCAGTTCTCAATAATAATAGTCCAAGGCACATATTTCCAATGAGCCTGGGTTGTTATCACACATTACATTAAGTACTGAGAACTAGCTCATAATGCAGTTAAATGGGTTCGAGTCAGGCTTTTGCCAAGTTTGCTCTACTCACTTTTCCCATCTCACATCACATTTGAATTTATTCTCAATAAAAGTGCAGTTTTAGTGATGTTCTGTTCTGCATTTAATGTGCACTTTATTTGCCATGAGCGATAACACATGTAGTTCATCCCAGAGTATACTAACAACAATCATCTAATCATCTCGTAAACTTTTATCAGGCATTAGAGAAATTCAAGAGACAAGCTCTGTTGAGTATATGTTGATCAAAGCTTCAGTGGAGGGTGTTTACATGAGGCTTTGTGAAAGTCTCTGCAAGAATATTCTGGATAAATTCCATGACAAGCGAGTCCAGTCATGAGGCTCGATATGCTAAAAGTAGCATGAGCTGCCATGATACGTTCAGATGTCACGGACGCTGGATCATATACAGGAATCTCCTTGTATACAAGAGTCACCTTTACTGTCAAAGAAAGGGTAAACAATGAACATCATGAGCAGTAAATATTGTCTGTTGTTATGCAGATGTATGATGTAAGCACAAGCACACACTGAAGGCAGAAATTGATAGCGAATTTCACAATACAAAGAAACACTAACAGCCACACTGAACTACATATGAAATTTGAAAATCACACAGTATATTGTTGTTAACCTGCACTGTAAAAAATGCGGGGTTCCATACAATTCCTTCATGTTGTCCCAATAAATAATGACTTGGCTTCAAGTTGATCATTTGGTATCATAAGTGGCTTATATGAAAGGCAAAGGCCTCTAGATTGTGTTTATTTTACCAAAATAAAATATGACCATACCTAGATTTTTAATCATTTAAGTAGGACCGTAAGGTCTGACTTAGACAAAACTCTTGTCACGTAACAGAAAGTAATGTACTTAGACATTTTTGTCAGGTAGTATAAATAAATAAATATATATATATATATATATATATATATATATATATATATATATATATATATATGATTTGTGTATTTTGTATATATATAATTATTTTTTTTGTATCTGGTTTTGAATTTAGGAATTGAATTTGTGTATTTACGAATCGTGTTGTGAATTTATGAATTGGATTTTTGTAGTTATAAATCGTGTTTTGATTTTATGAATTGAATTCATGTATTTACAAATCATGTTTTGATTTTACATATTGGATTTGTGTATTTACGAATCGGGTTTTGAATTTACAAATTGGATTTGTGTATTTAACAATCGTGTCTTGAACTTACGAACTGGATTTGTACATTTTTGAATCATGTTTTAAATTTACGAATTAGATTTCTGTATTTTTGGATACATTTTTAAATTTACGAATTGGATTGTGTATTTTAACAATTTAACAATCGTGTTTTGAATTTACGAATTGTATTTGTGTATTTATGAATCGTGTTTTGAATTTACAAATTGAATTTGTGTATTTGTGAATCGGGTTTTGAGTTTACGAATTGTATTTGTGTATTTAACAATCGGGTTTTGAATTTATAAATTGGATTTGTGTATTAATAAATCGAGTTTAGAACTTACGAACTGGATTTGTGTATTTTTAAATCATGTTTTGAATATACAAATTGGATTTGTGTAAGTTTGAATACATTTTTTAATTTACGAATTGGATTGTGCATTAAACAATCATGTCTTGAACTTATGAACTGGATTTGTGTATTTTAATTCATGTTTTGAACTTACGAATTGGATTTGTGTATTTTAAAATCGGGTTTTAAATTTAGTTGGAATTTAGGTTGGAATTGTGTGTGTGTGTGTGTGTATATAAACACACACACACACACACACACACACACACACAAAACAGTTCTGTCTGGTTCTTGAATCTGATTGGCTCTTAGCTGTGTAACTTGTACAGCCTCTTCACTCTTGCGTATTACTCCACCCACATACAGTGGCAGCAGATCAATAAACTCACTGCAGTTTGACAAATATTGTGTGATTGTATACATATGTTTGATATATTTTATTAATCAAGATAATTTGTATACAAATATTTTAAAATGTTATTTGCGTTCAATAAGTACTTCTCTCTAATATAGCACGTAACACAATTTCATACATGAAATGTGTTCCTATGCAAATCATAAACAAAAATACATCAATATATGTTCAGCCATGCGTTAAACTGAAACCAATGTATTGTTTCAATAAACCTATTACATCTAAAACTGTGAAGATGTTTTCATAATTGCTATAGATTCTTTTTAAATGCATCAATATATGCATCAATACTGAACAAAATTACAAGCTCTCGTTCCCAATATATGTGAATATTTGAATGGTGAATAAAGAACATTGGTTCCCCTTCAAACACAATCTGTCATTAGGTAATTAAACCCCACTGAACTCTTAATGATTGAATGAAAAGCAGCAATCGGGAAGCCACCGTGGTGACATCTATCGAAGCCGTATTTACAGCTTTACCAGGTGCTCATTTCTTCCCTGGTTATATTTAGTTCTGGCTTAAAGTCACACGATGACGGAAAACATTCTGCACACTCATGACGTGTCAGTATATCTACACCCATTAAAGGATAATGCCACGGTAGGCTCTTGGTGCTTGACATTACCTTGGGTAAATATTGAGCGCTGAAGGCAGATGGACACAGCAGATCCTCCAGGACTCGGGCAGCGGTGCTGGAAATGCTCGTCGGTGTGGTCTGACTGCTGGCTGACCTCCAGTTGATGTTTATAGACAATGAGGGCAAGGTCACCTTCTCAGACTCCATGAAGTCAGCAGTCACTTGACCACACCGAGCATCTCTGACGTCTGCAAATAAACAGACAGGAGCCACGTTGCATGCTGGACAGCCGTACACAAACTCAGAGCTATTTGAGACGGACAATGAAAACGTGACCGCAGGAATAAGCAGGGATGTCCACTCTCTTTTTGCATTCAGAAGCATTTGCTGCTTGTATATTGGTCCACTGTGAGAAAACATCATGGGTTGGATTCCCATGGAATAAAAGAACCAATGAAATGCATCTAATGAATGCAGTGTAATCTGATATAACTCATTCGTTTCATTTCAGCTTAGTCCCTTATTTATCAGGGGGCACCACTGCGGAATGAACTGCCAACTATTCCAGCATATGCGAATGCCCTATCAGCCGCAACCCAGTATTGGGAATACACACTCGCATTCACACACACTCATACACTACAGCCAGTTTAGTTTATTCAGTTTACCTATTGCGCGTGAGTTTGGACTGTGGGGGAAATCAGAGCACCCGGAGGAAACCAACGCCATCACTCGCAGCAAGAACTTTGCTGGTTCAAGTCCTGGTTGGACTAGTTGACATTTCTGTGTGGAGTTTGCATGTTCACAATTCATTTTGGGGGGGAACTAACCCTTTAAAGGGCACCTATGGTAAAAAAAATCTATTTTTCAAGCTGTTTGGACAGACATATATCCAGGTATCCGCTTGTTAAGTGTGACGTCACGCGAAGCAGCTTCCGGGTCCAAGCGCTCTATTCAACTACCAAAATGAAATACTTTTATATTAGAAATGGAAAATTTGAAAAAGTCTCTAATACAAATTACAGTTTTTCTCAGTCGCTTTGGTGCATTTCTCACTACACTATTTACATTTGCACAACAGTCAATGCATTTCTCAAAACAATTAGTCATTTGTGCACATCCTAGTAGCAGTTTCTCATTCCTTCCAGCGAATTGCAGATGCTTTTGGACATGCATCAATTGCTTTCACACAACTCTATGCCATGTATAACATTATCGTTTGCTTCTGTCATGTCAGTCAAAATGAACTAAACTTGTGAATGCTGAATAGTCATTCCATATAAAACTAATAGTCCTCACTTCATTACTTGAGTCATTACATACAAAAATGTGGAACTAGTTGTCAAAATCTGTCTAGCAAATTTGATAAAAAAAATTAAATCTTTATTTTTCTGAAAATGTCTTCTAAATTGAACAATTTGATGAATGATTTACAGACCTGTGTATGTTGTAGGTTCAGTTCCAATATGTACTGCAATGTTGTGTACAGTTGTGCACAGCTCTACCCAAAGAAAGCTTATGCTTGTTGTAAATAAGGGTGTATTTATTCTTTTGAACAATGCTGTGAATAAATTAGAATTGCAACGAGCAAATGCAGTAAAAATGTGAAACATACATATTCAGTGTCTTGTACTCAGATACCTCACTAAATGCAGTGATGTCTAACTTTGCTGTTGTTTTCAAATGGCTGTGCAAATAGCTCTCCATTTTGAGCATGTGATGCGCTTTTGCAGGTTATCAGCTAGGTTTTGCAGTTTGTACTAATTGTTTTGTGAAATGCATTAACTGTTGTGCAGAAATGCACTAGTGTTGTGAGAAACGCACCAAAGCGACTGCGAAAAACTGTAAAAACAAAAAACATGATGTAATGTTAGATTTCATGAAGGAATTTTTATCTAGTACTGATCCCCCGCTGTAGTCAATGATTGTTTCCTAAGTTATTATTTATGTTTATATGTATAGAAGTATTTGTAAGACTAGTTTATTTATTATTATTATTTTTTTTTTAATTATGTAATTTTTTTTCTCTCTCCTGTTGTTTTTGCTTCATTATCATTTTTGGTTGTTGTTGTTGTAGCTATAGTAATGTTTTTGGATATAGTATATATACACGAATTGTTGTATTATTACTTTATGTAATGCTTCAAAGACATTATAATAAAAAAAAAACTGGAAAAAAAAACACTCTTCAACTGAATGGGGAGCCTTGTGAAATGATAATAATAAACATCTACAAAGCGATTTAATACTTTCGAAAGTCACGATCGCAATTTATACGTCCATGCCTATTATCCAATAGCCAGAAAGTCATTCATTTTTTTATAAATTGTTGAAATTTTGGTATCTGTGATGTAGCAAGCCCAGAGATTATGTACACTATGACTTTATCTAAAATTAACTTTAATGTGTGATATGAGTAAAAAGTGATCATGAACGAATGATTTCTCAACTCAAAAGAGTGGCGGCTTGGACCCAGTAACCGTATTACATACGTCACCAACACGTCACCACTTAACAAGCGGATAGTGTATATTCCGTCTTATTGGCCTGATATAAACACACCCAGTCAGTGTTGTCAACTATTTCCAATGAAAAGTAGCTAAATGTTGCCAGATGACGTCACGCACTAATTTACATATCAGTGACGTCATCACGTAGTATCTGAAAAGCGCTAGCCTGTTATGTCTCTACTCTCACAGGGCCGTGTAATATATTATATTAAAACATTACATTACATCCAGATGCACTATAAATAGGTTCTTATTAACATATTAGTTTGCGTGATGACGTCATTGCGTAATCGCAACTCAAAACTACATGTTTATGTAGTACAAAAAAATAATAAAGATTTCTCAAATTGACTGGCCATCTCAGCAAAAACATTATTTGAAATATGTCCATTTAGATTTGTATAAAAACATAGTCGACTATTTGTAAAAGTAGGCTAATCCAAACACTTCTTGATAAGATCTTTTTATTTTTAAATATAACACTGATAACGAACAGTTACTTTCTTTTAAACAATCACAGCTTGTGTACTTACTTTTTTTTAACTTGTGAAATTAACACATTTGTGAAAGTGACAACAATTATAGCACTATTGGGATTGATTTCTACCTAAATTACCAACAATTACACATGTTAATATAAATGAGTACATTAACAGTTATGAAAAACAATCTGAGCTAGCAATTTAGGCCGTACTCACACTATGAACAGTTGCCTGGAACCGGGCCAAATCAAGCTTGTCCCGTCTCCCCCGACGGCCCGCACTCAAATACAATCGGGCCTGGCCATGCTTACGTCATCGATGCTGTGCTGTTCAGGGAGCGCTCTCGCTCAGCACAGTGGAGATTTCTCTAGTTATATCGTTTAAGTCGTATGATATGCAGTGACATGCAGTCAAGTATTTCGCCAAACAGTCCTTAGGGATGCGGTGACACGCAGTCAGATATTTCGCCAAACAGAACAACCTAGGGCACGGTTTATATTTCTGCCAGGCCACAGAGCGCCATGTGAATAGTTTTATTCTAAATCTGGTGTGTCGTGTCGTGGCTCTGAGCGTCCGGTGTGTGACACCCTATAGTTATAGTCTCAGTCAAAGTTAAATTCAGTGTGCGTGGTTATTAGTCTCGGTGTACACGCTCAGAACTTTAAACTAGCACATAGTTGGGTGTAAATTTATTCAAAGACACATTTTGTCGTCTCTGCTTGGTCTGTGTCCGAGTCGTACATGTACGGCTAAATGCTGATCCTCTCACTCATGTTGCTTCTCTCTGTCTGCCTGCCTGTTGCAATACACAAAGCGGGGAAGCTCTTGGCTCCGCCCCCTTGTTAAGTTGGGCGGGAAGTCTAAACTAATTTTCACGTGAAGCAACACACCCCTAAAAACAAGCTGTGTACACAAACCCAACATGACACTGTTTAACACATTACAATAAACAAATCTGAACTGTGTTTAGAACTGAACCTAATCTGGCACACTCAGAACAAACATAATATTAAAGCATTAAAAAGGGGTAAACTAGGTGCCCTTTAACAGAATAAATAAGTAAAACACCTACAAATGCAGCACAAAACAAAAGCACTCTTAGAGAGATCTTGTTACCTTACAGCCCACGCTAAATAGCACAGTTACAACCGTCCCAGAAAGCAGCAATCAGTCAAATCTGTTGTGGGTTTGACTCAGATTTACCCCTGTGCTTTTGATAGGGCCTGCCTGCCTGCGCTCGGAGAGGTCAGCCAAAAGAAGATCTGCCATTTACGGATAGCTGGAAAACTGATAACTCAGAGAGATACATCATGAGAATCTAATATGCCGGAGATATTTTTCACTTGACAGAGGTGGAATAACATGCTGAGGGAATGACCTGCTTTAGCGTAATGGTTAGTTTATAGTTACTAGATTGAAGCAATACTGTTTTTCAGCGCTCATTTTTTGAGAGTCAAATCCATAATTCCATAAATGTCAAATAAATCTGAGCAGAATTTACATTAATCTGCTGCGTCACGGTGGCTCAATGGTTAGCACTGCCGCCTCACAGCAAGAAGGTCACTGGTTCAGGTTCTGGCTGGGTCAGTTGGCATTTCTGTGTGTGTGTGTGTGTGTGTATGCAGGTTTATGTGGTTCACAGAGACACAGTTATATAACGGCATATGACTTACTCGTACTTTATTAAGCTGGTTTACAGGGACAAACCTCATGTCCCTGTAATTCAAAACACTTAAAAATCATACTTACCAGGGTCAAAATTTGCCACAGGTTTACTATGAGGGTTAGGTTTTGAGGTAGGGCCATATAATGATAATTTTGTACAGCATAAAATACATTACACCTATGAAGTTTTACTGTAAACCATGTACAGAAGTGTGTGTGTATGTGTGTTTGTGAGTAAGTAGGCACTGAGCTTCCAGAGTCAAGCTCATTAATATTCACAGCCATTCCAAATATGGTCAATAAGGACCTACCTGAGAAAAAAAAGGTACAAGAGCTGTCATTGGGGTGATACCTTTTTGAAAGCTACACATTCCTAAAGAGACCCTATTAATACCTCAAGGGGTATTAAGTACCTATAAAGTACAAAGTGTACCTCTTTAAATGTTTAGGTACAAATATAAGCATTTGAGGAACCATTATGGACCATAGAGCGATTTTGTTATGGCATATACACCCACCGGCCACTTTATTAGGTACACCTAATTGGACAATAGAAGATAGGAGAAATGTTGCCTGGTCTGATGAGTCGGTGTCTGCTGCAACATTCGGATGGTCGGGTCAGAATTTGCCATCAAAAACATGAAAGCATGGATCTATCCTGCCTTGTATCAATGGTTCAGGCTGGTGGTGAGGGTGTAATGGTGTGGGGTATTTTCTTGGCACACTATAAGCTCATTAGTACCAACTGAGCATGTCAACACCACAGCCTCCCTGAGTATTGTTGCTGACCATGTCCATCCCTTTATGACCACAGTGTACTCGTCTTCTTATGGCTACTTCCAGCAGGATAACACACCATGTCATAAAGCATGATACATTTCAGACTGGTTTTTTAAAACATGACAATGACTTCACTGTATTCAAATGGCCTTCACAGTCACCAGATCATAATCCAATAGAGCACCATTGGGATGTGGTGGAACAGGAGATTCACATCATGGATGTACAACCAACAAATCTGGAGGAACTGTGATGCTTTCAGGTCAATATGGAGCAAAATCTCTGAGGAATATTTCCAGTACCTTGTTGAATCCATATCACAAAGGATTAAGGCAGTTCTGGGGACAAAAGGTGGTCTAACTACTAGTAAGGTGTACCTAATAAAGTGGCCGGTGAGTGTAAATTATAGAATTGAGTAAGAATCTTAGTTGTTACCTTATGTAATGACTCTTATACTAGGTTTTTGGAATTTAAATCACAGTTCAGGATTTTCTCAGATTGTGAAACCAGGTCAGTATTACACCTCTTGGAAAACTGACATGTTGAAGAGTCTGCCAGACAGATTTCAAAAAGCAAGCCAAAGAAACAAAATAAAACATGAAAAATGTTACGACATAAGAGCAATAACCAGCCTGGATTTTACAACGTCTCCTTATCCATGCTGTGGTGAAATTGGATATTATGGTGAGGATGAGATAAAAAACGTGTGATTTACTTTCTGTCAAGTCTGACCACAAAGCATGAGAAAGTGGTAGAAAAAGAGAGATGGGTGTAAGCACATAAAAGAACATATTTGAAGTATTTAGAGATATTAAAAGTTATAAAAATTCAATTTCGATCTATGATGCTATTATTATAAACTCTATTTGATTGAATGGGAATGACAGGACAAATTATTCTAGCCATTCATTCATTCATTCATTCATTCATTCATTCATTCATTTTCTTTTCGGCTTAGCCCCCTTATTACTCTGGGGTCACCACAGCGGAATAAACCGCCGACTTATCCAGCACATGCTTTACACAGCAGATGCCCTTCTAGTTGAAACCCATCACTGGGAAACATCCATACACACTCATTCATACACATATACTACGGACAATTTAGCCTACCCAATTCATCTACTGTATAGCGCATGTGTTTGGACTGTTGTGTCTGACTCCTTCATGAGCTTGGAGGACTGCATCCATACATCCCTGCAGTGACTCAAATCACTGATTAATAAAGTCATCTGGAATGGCAAAGCAAGCGTTCTTGCAGGACTCCCAGAGTTAATCAAGACTCTTTGGATTCATCTTCAATGCCTCCTCCATCATCTTACCCCAGTCATGCTCAATAATGTATATGTCTGGTGACTGGGCTGGCCAATCCTGGAGCACCTTGATCATTTTTGCTTTCAGGAGCTTTGATGTGGAGGCTGAAGTATGAGGAGCGCTATCCTGCTGGAGAATTGTCCCTCTCCTGTGGTTTGTAATGTAATGGGCAGCACAAGTGTCTTGACACCTCAGGCTGTTGATGTTGCCATCCACTCTGCAGATCTCTCCCATATTGAATGTAACCCCAAACCATGATTTTTCCTTTACCAATCTTGGCTGATTTCTATGAGAATCTTGGGTCCATGCTGGTACCAGTAGGTCTTCTGCAGTATTTGTGATGATTGGGATAAAGTTCAACAGATGATTCATCTGAAATATCTGCCACTTTCCCAAATTATCAACTAGAAGTTATTTGTTGCTCTTACAACTGGGATTGACGACAAGACTTTTGTCAGGTAGTGTAAAAAATTAAAAGCTTGTCATATTAACACTGTAAATTAGGTGTTTCATAGAGTGTGTAATATCTGGTTATATAATATAGGAATAACAGACTTGACAGTCCCAGTTAACAGACATAAGGTCTTATGACCAATGCTCTTTAAGCATTGCCAGGTGAAGCCATACTATATTTATAATACGTGTTTTCCACTGTGCGAGTCTTAATTTAGATGAAATGGAGGAGAACAGTGATAGAGTGTCAATGAGTGCACACTTCTCCTCCTGGACCCTCTCACATTTCATCCATGAGACCAGCAGATGTGGACCTGAAGCAAAGCGAGGGCCTGTTCAACTCTTCGTTTACATTACATTTAGTAATTGTGATGTACTAATTTAGCAGACATTTACATTTAGTCATTTAGCAGATGCTTTTATCCCAAGCGACTTACAAATGAGGACAAGGAAGCAACGTACACAACTATAAGAGCAACAATGAATAAGTGCTGTAGGCAAGTTTCAGGTGTGTAAAGAAAGTGTAAGAAAACAACGAAAACATTAGTATTTTTATTTTTTTCACTAGTAATTTTTTTTGTAGTTAGTGGAGGAGTCAGAGAGGGAGTTGCATATTAGTAAGGAAAGTGGAGACTAAATAGTTGAGTTTTTGGTTGCTTTTTGAAGACAGCGAGTGACTCTGCTGTTCTGATGCAGTTAAGGAGTTCATTCCAACAACTGGGCAGATTGAACGCGAGCGTTCGGGAAAGCGTTTTCTTCCCTCTTTGGGATGTAACCACGAGGCGACGTTCATTCACAGAACACAAGTTTCTGGAGGGCACATAGATCTGCAAAAGTGAGAGCAGATAAGAAGGGTCGCAGCCAGAAATCGCTTTGTAAGCAAACATCAGAGCTTTGAATTTGATGCGAGCAGCAACTGGCAGCCAGTGCAAACGAATGAGTAGCAGAGTGCTCTTTTAGGTTAATTGAAGACCACTCGTGCTGCTGCGTTCTGAAGCAGCTGAAGAGGTTTGATAGAGTTAGCCTGGAGCCCGGCTAGTAAAGAGTTGCAATAGTCCAGTCTGGAGAGAACAAGAGCTTGAACAAGGAGTTGAGCTGCATGTTCAGATAGGAAGGGTCGGACCAGGGCCGGAGTTGGACTTCTTTTCAGCCCTGGAGTTTCAAGCCTCAGACCGGCCCACCTCAGTTCACGACTGACTATATTGAAATAAGGTCATTTCCAATTCAGTTTCTATTTAAACTATCACGTCTTTTTTGAGAAAACAGCTGCTTTAGAACTTAAAATGTTCAACAACCCTAACTATTTTATGTCTTAACAATAAAAATGAAAAAAAAAAATTCTCAGACGAGGATCAAACCCAGGTCAGTGGTGTCAAAACCTAACATGCTAACCACTCGACCACAACAGTTACATGATAATCAACCTGCAGGCTGCATGTTGATCACGAGGCTGCGAGAAAATAGATAAAAAGAGCAGAGCTGCGGTAAAATATTGAATAAGAAGACTGTGGTCAAGTAAATAGATACATTAATTTAAAAAGTATGACTGCTGTAAGCAACAGATTCTGGAGCTAGGGATACCGGCCCTCGCGGCCAAAAAACGGACCGGCCCACCGGGAATTCTCCCGGTCCTCCCGATTAGCCAATCCAGGACTGGGTCAGACCTTTCTGATGTTGTAGAGTGTGAATCTGCACCATCGAGCAGTTCTAGAGATGTGGACAGAGAAGTTTAGTTGGTCATTAATCGTTACTCTATTTTGGATGCAGTAATGGTTGCCCCGTCCATCTGGATTGAAAAGTTGGGATGTAGAGTCGGGTTGGCAGAAACTTCAAGCATTTCTGTTTTCGTGAGGTTAAGCTGAAGATGATGATCTTTCATCAAGTGTAAAAATGTCTGACACGCATTTAGCAGACAATTTTGTCCAAAGCGACCTACAATTGAGGAGGCATTCATTGATACAACAAGAAGAGGCAACATACAAGACAGGAACTTGTTCGTGCTACTTTTGTGAATACGAATCCAGCTGCGCCTTATCGGA